CAAGCTGACTTGGGCTTATTAGTCGTGGGCTTAATAACCGGCGACTACTGTAATAAGAAATACCAGTCGCGGGGCGTAACATATAGCCGGACGGAAGATCTGTTCCTTGGCATGTTCATCCTTTTATCTCGCTGTCCTCGTTCTCCCCTCATCGGTACACTCTCGACAGAGTCTGAACGTTATGATGTCAGTTTTGTCAGTGAATTTCGCACCAGATAACAGGCTTTGTATAAGTGTCAGCGATCCGATGAACTAAGCTCGGGGTCGCTATTATTTATGATGCCCTTCGTCCTGTGTGATTTTGAAGGTTAATCGTACAGTACTTCGCATTGTAGTGGTTTATCACAAAACATTTTCAGTTAAATGGTTGTTCCGCGGACCTAGTTACTTTTCACTCTATTTCGTACATAGGATTTTCGTTTAGCTTAAAAGTGCTCTGGAAACACTTATTGCTCATCTTATTAAGCGTATTTTACTCATTTTTTTAGCAATTGCTCGCGTGCCTCAACACGTCAAGAAGCAGTACGAACACTTTGCCTAAGTTAGATCAGGCTGTAAGTGATACCCTGGAGGAACAAGCGAGAACAAAGTGAGTCTCAAATTCCCCCTACCTCTAATTCCCCCTACTGCTCTCCCTTACTAACACGGCTTGTTTGTCCTTTTCAGCCAAGAGATTTCAACACTGGAGATGCGAATCGTGAACCTAACTGAAGATAATAAGCGTTTAAAGGAGGAGCTTACCGCAACACGAAGGTCCCTTCTTGACTTTGGCGAACTGAAGTCCCTTGTGGTATGTGCATAGCCCTTAGAGGACTCGTCCTGTTTGGCTCTGTTTTTTTTTAAAGAGTGGATCATTTTAATTGACGACTTGCTCACTGAACCCCGAACGTGCTTATTGTTTGGCGCGTTGCGGAAAGTGGCTTAACCCTCTTACAGAGTGGACCTAAACCCAGCTCAGTATTATTCCCCATGCAAGCGTCTCTTGCGTGTCGATTATTGACCATACCAGAACTTCTTACTACTTCCCTTTGCATGATCTAGCCTACTTTTTAGGATGATTACGTCTCCTGCAGTAATGTTAACTTCAGAAGAGTTGTGGGGCACTCAATGAAAATCTTACTTCACTCCTCTTTGCCTTGTAGGCTTCAGTTGACAGGCGCACCGAGGATGAAGTCCGCTTCTTACGGGTCAAACTCAATGTGGCAGTCGAGGAGGCCCGCACAAAAACTGATGAGGTACATTTTTGCACTGTCCAGTCCTAGGTTTTCCCTAGATACCCGCTCCTTTTCTCCCGTTAGCGATTGTTTTTCTTCTGCC